ATATATATATATATACGTCGAATCCTGTATATCGGATAACGTTATCACGGCGCATATAAATCGCGTTCTAATTACGCGAAGATCGTTTTTAAAAGTAAATAGAACAGAGAGACAGGATGATTCGTCACTGCTCGTCGTTTCAAATCGAACACGATGTACATAATACGCGTAGATAGATATCACTGTACGCGTTTCATTTCTATCCTATGAATCGATAATTACGCGATCGAGTAGGATAAAATGGTAACAGGATTAATAGTACGATCATTTAATTATGTAACTTCAATTTCAATTGATAGAAGCTTTTGTTACCGTATACTGTGTATCGAAATGAAATTGCATCGATCAATACGATAAATAAATATATATATACGTGTTTATATCATTTAATCGTTTGTTCTTCAAATATTTCTCCCCGTACTTAAATAAATGACAAATATCGGAATATATATGTATATATTTATATCGTCGTTTCGATACAAATTTTCATCCCGACGATTAAGAAGAAATAATAACGTCTCTCCCTAAATGGAGACATCGTTGCAAAGCTTTTCAAAGTCAACGTTATTCCCTTCCAAATGGTTACACATAATGCTACTCTTTCTTTTCAGATAGAATGGCGGATTTCAAAGGCCTATATCGTTCCGCGGTGTAAATAATGGAGTAAAAATGGAGTAAAACGTGGATATTTTGCGCCAAATAAAAGATAAAAGATTGGAATCGGTTCGAATCGGTTCGAATCGGTTCGAATCGGTTGGTGACATCTGCACCCGTCTATTATTCGCGTCACACGTCCGGAATACACACACGCTAATTGTTTAATTCGAAAGGATCGCTTGTGCACGTTTGGATCACCTCGGTGGTTGGCGTTACGTGCGTAAGTTTTAAAAAAAAAAAAAATTCCACCAAGCTCGTTCCACGCTTCGGAGAAAATAACAGGACGCGTTAACATTAACATAACGCGTTCTTCGGTTAAAACACTTTGCGCGTAACGTTGTGTACGTTAATCGCTTTTGACGGAACAATACCCTTCGCCTCTTATTGTTCGTCGCGTCGAAAGAGATTTTCGACCCGCTTTGCAACCCTTCTTTCGACGCGCCAATATTGTTACTACGCCGATTAAGGGCGTACAGGGTACGAAATCTATTTTAAAACTGTACGGGCGGTGCGTTACAAAAGCTTACCCTCCCCCCATTCTTTTCATTTACCTATTTAATTCAAGAGCTTACGTGTTTGAAAGCACGTATAATAATAACTTGATCAAAGTGACAAAGAGGAAGAACAAGAGGAAGAAAGAAAAAAAAGAATTTTTTGAATTTTGAACGACGCTACTGTATTATAAATATAAGTAGGTAAGGAAAAAAAGGAGAGGGGAGGGAATGAGCGAAACGATAGGCGTAAAAGGGAGGAAGATCGGTGTCGGAGGTGGCGAAATAACGGCGAAGGGAGAAGGAGGAGACACGAGAGAAGCGGCGGTTCGAAGGGACGAGGCGAGTCGAACAGAGGGTTGAAAAATTACGGAGGAACGGAGACGGGGAGCGTATTTTCCTTTCCGGTGGCGGCGGCCTCGTCGTTGTCGTCGTCGTCGTGAGAAACGAAAGGTTTCGGGCGAGGGAGCGAGACGGAAACGGAGAGAAAGAGAAAAGTCCGTGAAAAGAAGTAGCAGAATGACGTTGAGCCCAACTCGCCGCTCTCTTGCCACATTTTTTCCGTTTAAAGTCATTTTTCTCCCCCTTTGCCCCCACCTAAACCTTCCCGTTCCCTTCTCCACGCCACGGCTATCGTTCCGCTATTTCCGACCTTACCCCCTTCGCGTTAATTGTTTCGCATTTTTTTCTCTCTTCTTCCCACCTCCCCTCTCTTTTCCTCCACCGCCTTCGAAACGGTCACGCTTTCCCTTTCCTAATTTTTTAAACCGATCCTCGCGTCATTCGTCCGAATACGCGCTTCTCTCCTCTTTTTCTCCCTCCTTCCCCCGTTGTCAGACGTCAAACGAATGTAAATCATTTCGTATCGCGTCGGAGAGAAGCGAAGATAAAACGTGTATCGCGGTCGAGTATATATATATATATATATAGAGGGAATAAACATGGAAGGAGAAAGGTCGAGAATAATACGTGACGTTTCTAACTAGCCTATCGGCCCTGTCCGGTATTTTCCTCGTCACGTTTTCTCGTCATCCAGTTCGATGGATCACCATTTTTCTTTAAACTCTTTGTTATTCGCTGGACGCGAGCAATATAAACGATCGCGATATTCAACCCTTATATAACAAATATAGGAATAAGTCTTTCGAATAAGTCGAGTTTTACGTAAGAAAATTTGATCGTTTTACGAATTCTAATTGTTGCTCTTTTCTTTTTTAACGGATTATTATTATTATTATTATTATTTATTAAAGACAGGTGTTTGAAAATAGCGGTATAGGTCGTTTAATTTTTAATAGGAAATTTCGCAAGTTTGGCGCGCGCGATCGTGGCGTGAAAATTGGAATCGCAAGATAGTTGGAATAATTTAATAGAAATAGATGGAGAGAGTCGTCGGTCGATCCTCGGCGAATATTACACGTTTCTCGAGAGATTTACTTCCTTCGGTGACTAAGTACGCGAAATAGAATCACGGTATAGGATTCTAATTAATGGAATGCGGTTTGTTAATTCTGAAATCTGAAACCCCATTCCTCTTTTTTTTAGAAGCGAGTAGAAACGTAATTTTTATAAGTATATTTTATAAAAAAAAAAAAAAGGAAAAATACGTAAAGAAAAATTTCAAATTCCCATTTCTTCCTATTATTAATTAATAAGAAGAGAAAACGTAATATTACGCGATCATTTTAATCCGCTCCTCTTTTAAAGAACCGAAACCTTGCTTGTTTTACGCGTAATTTATTATACGCGAAATAAAAGAAGGAAAGGAAACTTTGGTTACGGTCCAAATTTTTTTTTTTCGACGCGAAAATAAACGGCGCCTCCTTCGACGAACGAAATTTTATTTAATGATAGAAAAAAAAAAAAAAAAAAAAAAAAAAAAAAAGAAAAAAGAAAACATATTTCTCGCGAAAAATTAGCATTATCGTATCGTGTCGTATCGAGGGACGTTTTCAACGTGCAGGAAACGTATGGGAAACGCACGAACGGTCACGATAATTCGCCAACGTGATCGACTTGAACACGGAATATTTCTATCCGGGACGGAAGAGATAAAAAAAAAGGAGGGGGGGGCGTTATATCGGCGAGCGAGCGGTTTTATTCTTGGAATTATCCTAATATCGAGTAGCCGGGCAAAAAGGGGTTTGGTTGAAATAATATCAATCGCGGATGACGCGGGAAAAAATTAATGAGCGGTGGATTCTCTATCTCTCTCCCTCCCTCCTTCCCTCTCGAAGAAGGAGAGAGAGAAAGAGAGAGAGAGAAAAAAAGGAAAGACGAGCGGAGAAGCAACGGTGGGAACGGTAGGGATGGTGGAGAGGATGGTGGAAGGCAATGCTGGTAGGTCGTTAGCGTTAATGAATAAGTAAGGTTAATTTGCG